CAGCTTGAGGACATTGGGTGGCGCAGTTGGATAGGCCTTGTGTTCCATACTTTCCAAATCCCATGCCAGCTCTTACAGGCTCTCCCATTTAGCATGGACTCTAGTCCTAAACCTATCCCTGTAGACTTCAGACTGATTTTGGGTTCCATACCTGAGTTCTAGAGCAGCTACCAGTGCTCTTTAGTTGTGCCTGTCGTGTGCTGACAAATGTCCAAGTATTTCAAGTGGTTGTCCCTTCAAGCTCGTTGCCAGGTACACTGCTTTCTGCTCCTCTGTCCATCCATTCATCTCTGCCAGTAGCTCAAATTGTGCTCTATATTCTTCCCATGATGCTTTCCCATTGAATTCCTGTGGCTTCCTTCGTACTAGATCACCCCTATTGCTGACACTCATGTATGGAATGTGATTTCTGACAGGACTGAAGATGTTTGCATTAGGGTTTAGCTGCGGGGTCTGGAAGGGGCTTCCCATTGTCTGAGGCTGATTAGGTTCATGGCTAATATATCCTCCTTGTATAAAAGACAGTAAATCATCCTTTAATGTATTTAATTCACTTTGAAATGTACTAATCTTTTCCATTTGTGTATGCTTGCTTTCTCTCAACTGTTGGAGACTTTCTTCTTGTTTAATTTCTTTCTCCTCCAACCACTGCTGTAGTCTCCCACTGCTGTAGTCTCTCTTCTTGTTCATTTTCTTTCTCCTCCAACCACTGCTAAGAGAGACTACCTTGTTCATTTTCTTTCTCCTCCAACTACTGCTGTAGTCTCTCTTGTTTCTTTTTTCATTCTTCTTGTTTCTTTTCTTTTTCCTCCAACAACTGCTGTAATCTCTCTTGTTCATTTTGCTGTTCGAGCTGCCACTGCTGTTGTCTCTCTTCTTGTTTCTTTTCTCATTCTTCTTGTTTCTTTTGTTTTCCTCCAACAACTGCTGTAATCTCTCTTGTTCATTTTGCTGTTCGAGCTGCCACTGTTACAGGTTTTCTTGCCACTGCTGTTGTCTCTCTTCTTGTTTCTTTTCTTTTTCCTCCAACCACTGCTATAGTCTCTTTTCTTGTTTATTTTCTCATTCTTCTTGTTTCTTTTCTTTTTCCTCCAACCACTGCTATAGTCTCTTTTCTTGTTTATTTTCTCATTCTTCTTGTTTCTTTTGCTGTTCTAGTTGCCACTACTGTTGTCTCTCTTCTTGTTTCTTTTCTTTTTTCCTCCAACCACTGCTGTAGTCTCTTTTCTTGTTTATTTTCTCATTATTCTTGTTTCTTTTGCTGTTCTTGTATTGCTGCCATCAAATCTGTTAAGTCGTAGTTTGATTTGGCACTTCTCATTTCCATCTTTTTTTTGGTCCCACTCTCTGACACCAATTTGTTACATCTCTGGTCATTTGTTAATTTTCCTTAGAAATTCTTTCCCAGAAACTTCAGTGATACAAGTCCTTTCTTAAATAAAACTAATTTATTCTTTCTCAATACAACTTTGCAATACACAGAATTTCCACGGTCACTTTAACTGAAACACACGCTATAATTCACAACGAACAATTCACGCACTTTACTTGCTACTGCGCTTGACTCAATTGTCCGTCCCTGTCTGTCTGCAATTATCTATCTATATATATCATCACTTCTCGCCGGTCTTATATATACAAAATAGAGGGTGTATCTAGCAAACGCAAGGACGTTCGACAGTTTCCTCGATCTTTCTAGAACTCCAGCGCATTAAAATATTTAACTAAAATATCAAATACCTTAATAAGTCAAGAAGAAAATATGGTTATATAAATGTAGGAAAAAGTATAATCTTAGAAGTCAAGAAAAAACATATATACTAGGGTTGAAATGAATATTATAAGTAGTGCTTTGAAGCTTCTTGCAAGATAACTACTGAAGCTTCGAAGCTTCTTACAATTGTGTATACTTGTTATATTATAACAATGTATGTATTTAATTTGTTACAGTTTGATTGTACATGAGTTTGACCTTCAGGCATTTGACCTGTCAAAATTTAATATGACTGGACAGCAGTTGTGTAGTCTGAGCAAGGAAGATTTCCTAGAGTTTGATTACAGGCCTTCTGGAATCTGGAAGCTTTTATTTAGTAGCATTACATACTCCATAATCTCCCATTCTTCCACCACTTTCTTCAGCTTTTCTGCAATGTTTATCCCCACGTACCGTTCTGGAAAAGGTAAGGTTTCCAGTACAAAGGCGTGTAGCACCCAGCTGTTATCAATGTAATGCGCTGTTACGGTGATGTAACTTTCTGTTGTGATGCTCGTCCATATATACGTGGTTAACGATATAAACACTGCTTCTGCACTTAGCCTTTCTTTCAGACGTTGCATGTTTAAGGTTGATATCAGGGGTAAATTGTTTTCTGCTTGGTAAGACATATCCCGGCTCCAAGTACTTCATTAAGTTACGAAAACCATCGCATTCCCTGCATTCAACAGTCCGAATGGGGCGTAGGTCTTGAACGATCATTTGAGTCACTCTGTCTGTTATATTCTTTGCACGTGTATCATTGCACTTCGCAAGCCTTACAAATCAATCAAGGGTAGGCGTCTTCCTGCTCTCCGTTGTGGTTGTCTCGATGTCCGGACAGTAAAGAGTCGAGTGCTTCGACGCGAGGTGATTCCATAGGTTTGTTGTCCCACCTAAATAGGCAAATTCTTTTTTACAAATAGTGTACATGGCTCTCCTACGGTCGTGAAGTTTCTTATAAAAACTCCATACGTCCGAAACTTTTTTACAACTACTTTCAACCGCGCCCTTATCTGATGCCATTTTTTCCAATCAAAAATTGTATGCATAGCTCATGCATATAAATAAACATGTGAACATTCGATTGGGCACTGGCAGATCCGAAGCCTCTGTCAGCTTCGAAGCTTCGGAATATTTGAATACTTAGTCTCAGCCCTAATATATATATATATATATACACACACACACACATATAATCTAGAATCAAGAGGAAACTTGTATCCTTTAATAAAGCAACAGAGTCTCAAAAAACAAACATCTAGGATTAAAAAAAACATAATATTATTCATTACCAAGAAATCATAATGTTATCCTTTTAAGAAAAAACTACTTCCCTAGTCAAGAACAAAAATAGCCTTGAAAATATATTTAAGAAATACCACAAATTAAGTAAACACCTAGTTTCACAAATGATAAAAATAAAATGATTAGAATAAAATGCAACATCACAAATAAAAATCAAAGATTTTCAAATAAACAAGAAAACAGTGTTAAGATCAAGATAAAAAATATAGTTTAATAAGTAAGAAAATGGTCTAACAGCTTTAGTGGTAATACAACAGTGCATGAAATTTTAAATTCTGGTTAGGAAGTTAGCACCTGGGATCACATACAAAAGTTGCAGTGTTTTTCAAACGAGACCCAAAAACTTAAGCACTTTGATGTTTTGGATCTTCTTTGAAAACCATGAAATGTTATGATACTATTTTATAGATAATCTTTTGTCTTTTACTGAGATTATCATGAATGTTATTCAAGATTAAGCAGAGCTTTTGTTTATTTATTGTGTAATTTTATCAGATTTTGGCGCAGTAATGTATTTGAATGTATTTTGTGGATTTCATTCAAAAGATCCAAACATAATGACAAATAGCATGAAAAAAACAACTAGGCATTGATATTGGTACTTTATAATGTCAGGTATGAGCCAGTAGAAATTGGTATGTGTGGGAATTTGATATTACCAAGTATGAACCACCAAGGATTAGTGTTTTTGGCTACTTGACTTAATCAACATGGAACAGTAGGGATTGGGTTTTTTTGGGTGCTTGTTAACATTAGTTATGAACTAGTAGGGATTGGTAGTTAATGATACTTGGTCACATAAAATGTGCAGCAATAGTGATTGTATTTGTTGGTGATTCGTAACATCAGGTGTGAACACATTGGAGTTAGTATTTTGTGCTACTCATTAACATATGGTATAAACCAGGAAGCATTATTTTTGTTGGTGTTTACTTATATCAAATTTTAGTGCATAACAGTTGATATTTTAAAAAACAATTTTTCCACTTAAGAATCGGAAATGATTACTGGTTTTGTTAATTTTTTATATCAGTTAAAAATAACCAGGGTTTGCAGTTATTGGATTATTAGTTTGGTCAGTTATGATCAGTAGCAATTGTTACTCAACTCTGCTGAATATGTGCTCTATGGATAAAATTTCAGTATTAATCTCAGTTTAAACTAAGACTGAGGTTGTATGATTGCTAAATAATCAGAAAATATTACTGTTTTTAGTACACCATTTGGTCAGGAACATGGCTAGGACATGTGCATTTTAGGTTGTTGTTTTTTAATACAAAATTGCATAATTTTTTTGTTCCAGGGTAGTTGAATTAACTGGAGATGTCATGCCTGATGCAAGAGCCATCACTGCTGCTGATGTAATTGTTACCACTCCAGAAAAATGGGATGGAGTTAGTCGAAGCTGGCAGATAAGGAATTATGTACGGGAAGTGAACCTTATGATAATTGATGAAATTCACCTGTTAGGTAAGTTAATAGCTACTTTATACTTTTTCTTCAGTTTAGTGAGGTTTAGATCTAGTTTTTGTGTGTTTTGTCAGTAAGGTAAATCTTTTTCTTTGGAAATATTAGTTTCTTTAACATTATTGGTAAAATGTTTAATATGTGTAATATTATTGATTTACATTTTTTTATAGTATTTTTAATTATGAGAATTATTTTGCATTGTTAGGTTAGTATAGGAATTTAGGACTAAGATAAATCTCATAAGCTGGTCGATTCTTGTGAAATATTATAGATTTATACCAAAAAAAATCATTAACAGTGAGGATACACAACTGATGAATCTATGTATTTATGAGTTTTTGTTTAATTATATTACATACTCTCAGTAAGGCCACTATAGATTTGTTATATTAGTTACAGAGTTAATTTTTAGTTTGATCACAAGTTTGTGGGTATTATTTAAATGTGCTAAACTATTAATATTTTTCTTATAAAATAAAACTATTTTTGACAAAATGATTAGATTTTTTGCCTTAGATTAAATATCAGAAACTCCACAATAATCAGTTTACTTTGTAAAAACTGCAAAGAAGTACTGAATTAAATGTAAAAGTTATGCAACAACAATTGGAAATTACAATAATACTCCATTATTAATTGAAGCACCTAATAAAACATTTTGATTAATAAAATTATGTAATTTCGATAAGGTACTCTCCCTCCGCTCACAAGATTAACCTTTCTCGTTTTGTGCTGCCCTCTGTATGCAAACTTTTTCAGAAACGCATGCCACAAGCCTTCATCCTCCCTCTGTTGGAATTCACAGTTCCAACACATCTCTCATGCAAATCAACATGCGTCACCTCTCCACCAATAGGAGTTATGTGATGCATATGACTCCCTCTATGCGCCACTACCGAACTGTCACTTCTCATTTGGCAGCTATCATGTTCAAATGTTCTTATTACATTGTTCAGTTACCTTGAAGTGTTTTTTATTTTATTTTATTTCTATATTTACTACACTTCACAGTTTTGAAGTTAATATTTTGTTATAGCATTACTACCTCGTGTTTCCCTCTTATGAATTCTGAAATTAAAGTCACTACTTCGGGTACTTCCATCGTCTTATGCCATATTTTCAGCTGTATATGAGCCAATTTCTTTCACCTACTTCTGCCCCACTTCCTCCTGAGCCTTTCTAGCTGGGCCCGACTGAAGACGGTTTTGATCATTTCCACCCCCAGAATTTGCTGTGTCTTCCCGTTCACTGCATGAAGATTCAGCTCATCCATCATTGGTCTTTTCAGACATTATTGTCAATTACACCTGTTTCCTATGGCCCTAGACTTTCCTTTTTACATGACACAACTTCCCACCCCTATTTAGTATTTCCCCCGTCCCCCAATATTAGGGTTCACATGGACCGATTTGCCTCTCTACTGGGAGAGGGTGTTAATATGCCTCATCCCCCATGGACTTTGGATCAGTCTGCCCTTGCTTACTTGCTTATCATCCGGTGGACTTTCCTTTTCTCTACCAACAGTTGTTTGGGTTGGTTCTCCCTATTTTGTGGGCGAATCCAGGTTACTCTGTCCAATTTACCCAGGCCCAATTTTCTCACCCTCACGACCCTGTTAACATACATTTCTTCCCTTCACCTTCTGTCTGAGGCTCTTCACAGGAATGCTGAGGGATTTTCTGCTGAAATTCTCTCCATACTTACTTCATCATTGGCCCGTCTGTCGTTTTCTTTGGCTCACACTCTTCAAATGTTGTTTGTTTAATGTTGGGACCTCTTGAGCTGCAATGAAGTTTTAACGCAGACCTGTCTCCAGGCTTCTTATCTGAGGGATCTCCACATGGCACTGTTTTTGCGGTGTTATGTTTTCGAATTGGTTCCTGAGTTTTTGGAGTTGCAGGACTGATCATGGCACTGAATCCTGTCCCTTGACCTTCCCAACCTTTTTCTGTCCCACTGTGCCACGGTTCGATGTTTTACTCGATAGTGCATGTTCAATCAACATCAGTAGCAGTGACTATCTGGTTGGTTCTGGCCCAATGGGGACTCATCTCTTAAATTTCGTTCATCTGTGGGAACCTTTTTTTGCAGATGTCTGAGTTTACAACGTGCTTTCAGAGGGATACGTTATCCCCTTTCTCTTCCTTTCTCCATTATCCAGTGTTCCCATTCACTTCTCTTCTCCTTGGGATTCCTCAACATGCCAGCATCTGTCGGAGGTAGTTCAGGACCTCAGTGCACAACAGGCTATAGAACCAGGTTCACAGGTGTTTTACTCCAGCCTGTTTGTGGTTCTCAATGAGACTGGGGACTGGCATCCTGTTCTTGATTTATCCTGTCCCAATCAGTATGTTCACACTTCTCACTTTACCATGGAGATATACCTTTTTCTTTGGTGGGCATTTTCTCCAGGGCTTTGGATGACCAAGATGGACATTTCCAGTGCTCACCTACACATTCCTGTTGTAGAGCATTCCCATCCATATCTTCAGTGTGTCCACTGGAGGGATTGTGTACCAGTTTCGTGCCTTACCTTTTTGGCTTAGCCTTGGCACCATATGTGTTCTGTCTCGTGGTCTACCCCTTTGCTCAGCATATTCATGCCATGGGGTTGCGCTTTCATTTTTATATGGTCAACTGGCTTCTTCTTGCTCATTCCAAATGGGAATCGGCCTGTCACACTCATCAGTTCCTGGCTGAAGCTGCGTGGGTGGGCTGATAGGTCAAATTGGAGAAGTCCTTCCTTTGTCCTACCCAATACCTTATCCATTTGGGTGTTTTCTTCAACACCCTTACAACTCGCAAGGTTCTATCACTTTTGGGGATGTGGTGCTCCATGACCCTCTCATACCCTTCAATGGGTCCTTCACAATCAATAGAACCTTGACCGGGATGTCTTGGATACTCCTATATCCCTACCCTCATCCCTTGTAGACAATCTTTATTGGTGGTTGAATACGTCAGCAGGAGTCCCGCCTCCTCCTCCTCTGCCAGATTTACATCTGTTCACAGATGCATCCCTTCAGGGCTGGGGTGCCTGGGTGGATCACCAAGAGGTTTCGGGTTTTTGGTCTGTGGAGGAGAATTCTCTTCACATCAATGTTCTCTTACTCCTGTTTGTTCTTCGGGCTTTGGATCACTTTCTTTCTCTTGCCAGTCACCATCTGGTTATGATCCATTTCAAAAATTCTACCATAGTGGCTCATATCACGAAGGTGGCACCAGCTCCAGATCCCTATGTTTTTGCACTATGGATCTTCAATATTGGGCCCACACACATCACATTCGTTTGATAGCAAGTCGTGTACCGAGTGCTTTAAATCTCGTAGCCGATCATGTTTCCCGATCAGAATGCGTTTATCCCACAGAGTGGTCCCTGCATCCTACTGTTTTTCGGTGGCTCTGTCTGCATCTGGGTATGCTCCATAATGATGTTTTGGCCACCACTCTCAATCAAAAATTACCTCAGTTTTGGTCCCAATCCTTGAGTTGTGGCTCTTAATGCCTTCGGCCGGGATTTGTCTCTTCAGTTTCTTTAAGTTTAACCTCCCTTCCCCTTACTTCATTGGGTGGTCTCCCTCATCCATGCAAGGTCCTTCTCATTGCTCCTTACTGGCCTGCTCAACCTTGGTTTTCTCAGTTGCTCCAATTATAAGTGGTCCTTCCTCTTCCCTTCCATTCTGACCTGCTCTGTCAACCCCAGTCACCAGTGCTCCATCCCATACTGTCCATCCTCCATCTTGACGCCTGGTTTTTGTCACGTCTTTGGCGTGGAATTCCAGTTTCTCTTGAAGAGTAGCTTCATATTTAGCCTGTTCCATTCATCCTTCTTCTTTAGCTATTTATCAACACAAACGGAGTGTTTATTGCTACTGGGCATTAACTTGGGGTTTCCGAGCCTCTCATCCAACAGTTGCCTGTATCTCCGAGTTTCTCATGTGGTTCTTTGGTCTCCTCGATTTTGGGCAGTGTTATCCCATACATTCCATTTTTCCCACTTCCGCAGGGTCTTTGCTTCCCCTGTCATATCCTTGTTGATCTGTTCCTTCCAGCTCCATTGGTCACTGAAGCGTCTGTCTCTCCCGGTCTGGGATATTAATGTGGTCCTTCATGCTCTCACTTTACCTCCAATCGAATCTCTGTTTATGTGTTCCTGTTTCACCTCTCTCTTTGAAGGCATATTTCCTTCTCCTCCAGGCCTGTGGGCATTATAGGTTGGATATTTTCACTCTCAACATTACCAGGACCTTGTTCCACTCCTCCTACCTTATTCTTTATCCGGATCATGCTTTCTTTCCCAAGAAGGTCAGTCTGTTTTTTCCCATATATATATGTATTCTCTACCTCTCATCTCTACCCTGTCTGGATCTGGATAGACTCTTCTGTTCTGTCTGTGCCCTCCATTGTTATATTGATAACACAGTTTCCTTTTGGGGTTCTTGTTCTTGCCTTTTTTATCCCTTCGCAACCTTCCTCTTCCCGTGCTCTTTCCCCAGTTACCCTAACCAATTGAGTTCAATGTTTGATTCAGTTGGCCTCTTCTTCCTTGTCCCCTTCCCAGCGTGATTCCTTTCATGTTTCGTTCCATCAAATCTGTCACCTTACCTTCTCCCTTGCCTCTCGTCTTCGTCGCCCACTGGAAGAGATTCTACGATTGGGTATGTGGACAACTCCACACACATTAATCTACCTATACCTACACCACATTGCTGCTTCTGCTTCCTTTGACTATTCTTCAGACATCACTTTGGATCCTGCTCTGTGGCGAGTGGTGCCTGACCAGGTATTCTGTCAATACTCGGAATGGGTTTCACTTAGATGGCTATAATTATTCACAGACATGTTGCTCTCAAATACATAATTGCATCATAATTTGACCTTCCCAAACCCTATCACCCATGGACAGCATGGGTAAAGCAGAAGTGGACTGCTACCCATCCCTACCATGCCTTGATTGAATAAATCGATGTGGTCTGCTTTTCAAAATAGGGTTTTGTGAT